GTATCCACCGTCATTTCCTCCAACAAAATGGCTCTTTTGGGCGGCTAGGCAACGACAGGGAAGGCCTCCTGGGAGAAGTAGAGTAGTCTACGAAAATGGTATAAAATGTAATTAGTACCTTGACAGTTAACCGGGCAAGATCAAGCTCAAAAATACGCCCTTCGCCTCCCGCTGCAAAAAGCCGACCGTCAAACCAGCATACTGAACAAACTGAGACTAATACGGTGGAGGGAAACCGATGTAACAGGTAAAAGTTATCCCTTTCATCATAGACATCTAAAGTACCATCCGATCTGGCGGCAGCTATAAGTCCTTCTGAGTTTCTCGATACGGCTGTAAAAGTTGTCGGAATAAATTCGTATAACTTATAGCCATCTATGGGCAACTTTGTGGCCATCTGATAATCACGCCTTAACAGATTTCACCAATCCGCCAAGCTTAACAGCAGAGACGAACAAACAATTTATTATCCAAGCGAGAAAGATCCATTTTGTGCAAATCAAGGACAATAAGTCACCTCTTTTCTACAGAAACATGCACTTAAAATTGTAGATGGTTGTGTGGTGGAGGTTGCGAGAGCAAACTAATTTAGGCTACCCATGTAGTCTATAACTAACTGTTGGTGAAGATTGCTTGCGACCTCTTTTCAAGGATTGCTTAGTAACAAGGGGCATTTTGGCTCCACCTTTGATGTCTTATGAATACGATACAATCAGTGTTTATTCCATACAAACCCGTAACTGACTGGGCTAAGTTGGATGGAATGCTATGTCCCAGAATGAGGGATTGTAAATATCTTAAAATTGACCCAGACTATTTATAGAAGTTATAGAAGTTTTTGCAAAAAGTGTAGTTTTGTTCTCTTCCTTGATTCTGCAATAAAAACAATCCTACGATCTGACTACTTCAAGTTAATTATTTTCTGCTGACTTAGATAAACCATTATGAACGCCACATGTTCTGCGTGATAGCTATGTACAAAGAGGGAGTTCAAAGGTATTTACTATGCCATCTGCATAACTCACAGCCTTTAATCATGCCGTTTGGACAAGGTTTATGGAAACTATGTGTAAAGCTAAGGTCTGGTATTTCTGCAGATAAATCAAATCATTTCACTCCCGAAACCAAAGGACAAAGGGCACGTCTGAGACTCAGGCCCTGGTTCACCATGCGCTGTGCGATGGATTTGCATTTTAACGACCAGTCTAAGGCATGATATACATATGCAGCGGAAGTAAGGACAGGATATATGAGAAGGTGCTGGGTCGACAGTGCTCGATCTGCTGTTTTTGATGCGGGGAGCGGGGGAGGCACGCCAACTGGAGGGCTGCAGATGAGATTGTTGATGAGTGGGCAGAACGTGTTAGATAAACCGGCGTTGCCTTGAACTTCACAGTCGTGGTACGTATCTGATCGAGTAGGCCCGTGCGGTGTGTGAACGCAAGAGGGCAATGAGGACAGTGCAAAAGGCGTAAACGCGGGGCCTGCGGTGTGGACGATTGTGTTGGTGATTTAGGGCGGGGTGTCATCGGAATGGTGACCATCCGTGGTAGGGGTGTTCCTCTTCAGCATTGCGTGTGTGCTGAGGATTCCTTTCACGTCAGAGATCCTGCCATGCCATCTCACTTCCAGTACTATGCAGAGAAAGGTGGGATAATAGTAAGTCAGCATCTGGACTCGGTTGGCATAGACGGTCCCTGTTTGCTCTCCGTACAAGTGTGTCGTCAGGACGACAGGCTTGTATATTTTCACTACCGCATTCAGTTTCAGACCGGGATAATTCCACACAGAGGCTTTCAGCCAACCAAAGGCTAGGCTGGCTTTGAAGATTCGATGTGCTTCCCCGTCACCGATTCCGCTGTTGCACAACAATGTTGTTCCAATGTACGTAAATATATAAACTGTGTATTTAAGGCCCAGGGAGCCCACCCATTACAAACTTAGTCTTTTGGTAAAACTTACTAAATAATCGAAGCTGTGTGTTAGCAACTGTTGTTCGCAGAGGAACTGAGTAGTTATACACATCAAGTCATCTCCGAGTTACAGCGGACCGCCATTTAAAACAATCTGGTGAATACGGTGAACTGAAAAAAGGAGAACTGAAGAAACTGCTATACCAGAAACCAGAGGCGGAGTTCAGTGAACCCTATTCCAAAAAATATAGGAGAAGGGACTGCTTCTGTTATTAATAAGTATTTAGATTGACATGATGCAGTAAGATGGGATCGTAATACCGATGAGAATGTATGACTCTTCGGAACGCTCCCTGTCATAGGCGAAGTCATATAGTATCATAGGGGTAAAACAGCAAGAGCTCATCGCAGACAAGTTCAAAACGAAGGGTGGACTGTAGGGGTAGCGAGATCATCACCGAAATGCCGGCGATGCGACCATGCGGGCCGCAAAGTCCACTGACAAGCTGACAAAAACAAAGACCGCGAATACCATCGTCAAGGTTGCAAAACGTAGAACATCTGGAAACGATGCTTGAAAGTGGAGAGAAAAGAAAATTTATTCCACAGAAGATAAAGTATATATATTTGGAAACCAATTTAGACATAAAGCAATAGAGAGGCCGTTTGAGGGTTCATATTTATAATTACCAATTTCATGCACATTTTAGTAGGTCGAATTTCGGCCTATCCAACCATTTGCTCATCACGTTAACCGATAGGAGTTTTTGCCTCTTCTTATTGGTAAATAATAAGAAAAAAATACATTTTTATATTTTAGGCCGGGAGGGCCTCATAATTACAAAGTGAGTGTTGTGGTAAGAAGCAAATAAAAGATGGATAATTGCTGCTCTGTGTGAGCAATCACACACGCAACGAAAGTGTTAGGTTTTGGTGACGATAATTTCATAGCCGCCAATATATCGTCATTTCAAAATAATAGGCAAAACTCCCTGAAAGTTATGGTGAACTGAGGAGAAAGCAATGAAGAAACTCCTTCCATGTAAGGGGGGGCAGAGTTCAGTGGACTCACTTTATAAAAATAAAACACAGGAGAAAAAAAATGTTTCTAATAAAATTAAGAGGTTGGTTAAAAGGCGTGCTGCAATACTGTAAAACAGGACTGCGGTTGTTGATGAGGACGTAAGAGGACTCGAAACGCTTTTTTGTTGGAGAAATCATATAGCAGCAGAGGCTACCGTTCACCACCCAAAGACCGTCCGACTGGCTACAGGACCAACCATCAAGGAAGTGACACAAGAGGAGCACATCGCGGACAACAGGGCTGAAACGGTGAGGGGACAATAGAGGCCTCTAGATCATCCCCAAAATTACGGAGTTGCAACCTTGCGGACTGCAGAGTCCACCGATAGGCCGGCGAAAACAAAAAAACCTGCCACGATAATCACCAGAGACCACGATAATTATCGCTAGGAGAGCAAAATGGAGGAAGGTTGTCCACATTTGTCAATGATGGTTGGAAAGAGTAGGGAACGAAAATCCGCTGCAAAGATCCATTCTGTAGAGAATATTTTATACAATATAGAAACTTACGAAAATAGAGCAAAATCATGGATCGTATTTTTGGTATATCTCATAGCAAATTGGTTTCAGAGGTCCATGTGATTAGTGGTTGTATGCTGGGGCTCAAAGCATTGGTTCGCTAGTTTTAATGCGATGCATTCTCAGGCGACTGGCTCAAAGGATCCGTTGGGTAAAGACCGGTTGCGATTAAGCCCACACTGCTGGTTGAAGGGGCGATGGTGGTGCTGACTGGCAATCCGGCAGGTAGGCAGGAGTGTCCTCATTAATGGTGGGAGTGGGAATGGGTTTATCAATAGAATTGAATATGCAAGTTCCAGGAAGCAGTTCAGAAGAAGAAGAAGAAGAAGAAGAAGAAGAAGAAGAAGCGATCAATGGAACAAGAGTTTTATGGTCCTGACGTTTCGAATTCCGTCCTGAATCCTTAATCATAGGTAATCGTAGAAAAGTCTGATACATGCGCAGATAATGGGTTTCTCATGTCAACCGTGTTCTCGGTCAGTAGTTGGCCGACGAGGCCAATCCAGAAGCTGATTGACACTGGATAACTTGCATGCAAAGAAAGGATTGTTTTTGCGTTTATTTATAGTGCCATTTGAGTATTAATGGTCTTTCTTTTTTGCCTTGGGAGGGGTAGCTCAGTTGGTATCAAAAGCAACTGTTCCCAATAGTAGAGAATATGAGAGTTCCAGAAAGCAGTTCAGAAGAAGATGCGATCACTGGAACAAGAGTTTTATTTGCCTGA